TGAGAATATAATTGTATATAGTCATTAAAACAAACTTAAGTTAAAGAACAGTATATTTCAAACTCCCATCATATACATATGCAAATTACTCATATGTATGCACACCAAATATTAACCAAACTCTGTTACCTTTGCTTATTTGGGTAGGGTGGGGCGGGTGCAGAGTATTGTTTTAATTCTTCAAAATGAGCATGTATTATGTATTTTAAAAAATGGTTCGGGCCGGCCCAGTGGCGCACTGCTATAGTGCGCCGCTTGGGAAGTGCGGTGGCGCTCCCGCCCGAGGGTTCGGATCCCACATACAGACCGGTTCCCACTCACTGGCTGAGCGAGGCGCGGGAGCAACACCAAGGGTTGCGATCCCGTTGCCGGTCCCGGCCCGGTACGGGGGCGACACTGAGGGTTGCGATCCGTTGCCGGACACGGAAAAAGACAAAAAAAAAAAAGGAAAAAAAAATGGTTCAGACTTTTTAGAGGATTTTCTTTAAATTGCCTTCCACTAATGCTGGACCTGTTTCCACCCACCTGAGCAAATATCCCTTAATACTCAGAATGTGGTCCTTGGACCAGCAACTGAGGCATCTCCTGAGAAGTTAGAAATACAGGGTCTCAAGACCCACTCGCCCGTCCTGAATCAGAATCTGCACTTTAACAAGATCCATGGGTGATTGTAAACGCATTAAAATCTGGGAAGTTCTGGGTGAGAACAGATCCCTTCTCCTACTCAAAAGGGCTGTGATGACGTGTCTCTATGGTCCCTCCCAGTTGCAATTTTCTAAACTCATTTCTTGCAGTTATCTGCGTGAGTCCTTACAAAAAAGCAGCTGAAAAGACCGAAGGGTGAGTGGCCTGAACAGCCCCTGCTGCCCACAGCCGGAGACGCAAATGGGCAATGAAGCAGCCCCACGCTGCAGGTCAGGAGGGAGTCCGGGGGACAAAAAAGGCTGCGCGGGATTCCTGCGGGTGCTGGGGCAGGAGGGCGCCTGTCATCTGGACGGAGTGGAAGGCGCGGGGCACTAACAGGACGGCAGGAGGCGCCGCGAGGTGCCTTGGGGAAGGTCCCCAGAGACCCAGCGGGAATGGAGGGTGCAGGGCGGCCTCGGGGCGGCAGGGGGCGCTGCAGAGTAGCGGCCCGCTCGGGGCTGCCGAGTGTCCTCGGCGGCCTGGGAACACACCTGGGCAGGTGGGGGTGGGGCCCAAGAGGCGGGGCTCGCGGGGGCGGGGCCCAGGCCCGACCCACAAGAGCCGGCGGCCGCTGCGCCTGGGGATGCTCGCGTTGTGAGTGGAGCAGAAGAGGAGCGTGTCCAGATCGCGCAGCCCGGACCCTTAGGAGCCGAGAGGTGAGCCCAGAGGGTCGGGTCGGACCAGCGCGGGGTTTCGGGTACCGGGGCGGCCGCGGGGCACCGTGGCTTCCCGGACGCCGTTCGCGCGGTCGGTGGCCGCGACCGCATCAGCCCTGGCTGCGTCCCGGTGCCCGGGATGCTGGGACACCTGCCCGGGGCGGTCGGTCCAGCTCTCCGCAGTCTACCCACGCGCGGCCCGGGGCGCAGAGCCGGACGAGAGGCCGCACCTCGCCTCTTCTCTCCTCCCTGCACCTGCTCAGCCCTCATCCCCGCTGTGGTGAGGCGCATGGACTTGACCGTGACTGTTCCCTTTACACTCTGGAATGCTTTCTCCGGGGTGACTTGTTGCAGAAAGAAACACTGGCAGCGGGCGGGATGGATTCTCTCCCGCGACTTCAGCTGGGCTCCCCTGGGGTCGGCAGGGCTGCAGGGTCGCCCAGGAGGAGCTCAGGTCCGCTGCCCCGAGCCTGAGGCTCAAGCGATTTCCAAGCAGCGTGATGGACAGGGGCGCGCGTGGGGGCGGGACTCTCCCGTCCACACTCTGCGGTGAGCCTGGCCCTAGACGTGGGGCAAATCTCTCATCCCTCCCCAAGCTTCTGGTTTCTTCACCGTGCTATGGGCAATAGGTAAGGTCAGGGGTAGATGCGGGCTGTAGAGTCGCTGTCCTGAACCAGGGCCCTGGAATTGGAAAAAATCTTTTGAATTCTTCCTGCCTGTGTGGCCGTAGACAACCTACCTGCCCTCCCTGCACTTGTTTCCTCCTCTATGCAATGGGGATGGTAATAATATCTCATTTAATGGTACTGAGAATTAAATTAGGTAATGTGTAAAATGGAGTGTGATGCCTGGAAGTAAAGTAAGGGATCAATGAATAATAGCTGTTATTATTGCTGCCGTTATTATTACTGTACTATTATTTGAGGAGTGGCATAGCTAGTCGTTAGAAGTATGGGCTTCTGGGTTCGAATCCCAGCTCGGCCACTTTCTAGTGTGACCTTGGGGGAGCTACTTAACCTCTCAGTGTCTCAGTTTTGTGATACCTACCTCAGAAGATTGTTGTGACAATTAAATGAGGTAATACCTATAAAATACTCAGGAGAGTGAATGCTGGGTGTCAGCTGCTCGTTCTCCCACAAAGGCAACACGGTGAGTGAAGAGGCACAACCTAATGGCAGCTACGACCTTGTCTTGCTTCGGGGTTGAAAGGTCATTTGTGTGTAGTAAGGAGCAAGATGGGTTCCCTTCCCTCACCATGGCTCCTCTGACATTAGCGGCCGATCCCTGGTGTCAGGGTCATTCCTACGGAAGGGGATGATGGGCAGAGGGACCCCAGAAGTTGTCTCCAATGACGAGACAGAGTTGGGGATAGGACCTTCCAGAATGTTCTGCTGAACATTCACAGAGGAGGAAACCATCCCTGGGCTGCAGTTTTATTTGACATTGAACCTGGACCTAGATTTTAAAAACAAACAAATTCTTGCTAACTTTTTTGGTTTGGGATTGTAGTGAGGGAGGAAGTAGAGATGGGTAATATTTTTGAAAAATTTATTTAAATTTTTTTATTGTGGCAAAACATATGTAATGTAAGAATTTCCATTTTAAGCATTTTTAAACATACAACTGCATGGAATTAATTACATTCACATTGCTGTGTAACCACTACCTCTATCTACTTCCAAAACTTTTTTGTCATCCTAAACATAGACTCTCTGTCCATTAAGCAATAACTTCTCATTGTTCCCACCCACCACCCCCCTGTTTCTGGTAACCTCTACTCTACTTCTATCTCTGAATTTTTTTTTCTTAATTGACTCATGATAATTGTACATATTTATTGAGCACAATATGGGGGATGGGCAATATTTAAAACAGTAAAACAAAATAACATTCCTCTTGCCAAGAGGCTAATAGCATAATTTTGAGGGTCAGAGATGGTTTCCTTCATTCCAACAAAATCACATGAGGGGTTTGGAGTGGTGTGGCTGCCTCTGGACATCTCACCTCCATCCCCAGCACTCTATTTTTTTTTTGCATCGTAAGCCTCAAACCCCCGAGCATCATAAGCTGAAAGCCTTCTAGCTTTGCTCCAGCTCCCAATTTTAGACCATATCCAGTGGGTTCAGGATGGAGAAAAAGTAACTCCGCAGGTCCAGAATCCTGCCTAAAGAACTTGATGGGGCACACCAAAGCCCTTGTCCCAGACATAGACCCTCTGTGGGCATGGGAACTATGCTGTATACCCTAATTCAAGTCTGTCTTAATTTGCATCTGGCACTGTGGAAGACAGAGGGGACAGACTTTGCATATACCCACCACCCCCAATATTAGTGCTCACAAGTCTTGGGAAGTGGTCACATTTGCTATCCAGACTTTGGACATTAAATAGCTCAGGATCCCTTTTCTTTCCTCTTACCTTTAGTCCCAGGTACTGTTCATTAACTTCCTGCTTTGGTGGGGGCAGGGAGGGGTAGTACCCAGCACAATACCAGGCCCCTCAAAGGCATATACCATGGTGGTTAAGGCTGTAAGTTTTCAATACGGCTCCTCCACTAACTAGCTGTGTGATCTTGCACAAGTTATTCCACTTCTCTGAGCTGATTTTCCTCTTCTGTAATATGGAGATAATAATAGTACGCCTACCTTGTGAGTTGTTGAAACATGAAATGAAATATATATAGACTATGTGTCTATTTATAGAGAGACTGTACATATTTATGAGACAGACTATAAGTACTACAATCATGAGATGTGTCTATATATAGTATATTAGTTCATTTCTAAAATGAATATTATTTCATATTGTAGAGTTCCTATAATTGAGATGCATCATCTACATTGATGAATGCAGTAATTTGCTTTCCTACACTCTCCCCCAAAGCTGTTATTAGATGAAAGTGCGTTCTCCAAATTCATTGTATCTTAGAATCAAGGAAATACAGCACAGTGCCTGGCAAATGTTAAGTGGCCAACAGTTGCAGGCTATTGTTAAATCAGGTGCTCTAGAAACACTAAGAGCTTGATTGTAAAGAGAAGAAATGAAACAGAAGTCATTCCTCTTGCAATAAAGAAGCAGGGAAAGGGCTGGGAAAACACGGTCAGAAATATGATCTAAGGTGGCTGCCGGGAAATTCTCTCAGCAGATTTCATCTGTCAATAACAACCTGCTGAGCACTTGCTCTGTGCCAGACACTGTGCTAGGCACCAGGGGGCATAATGAGGTAGGAATGCTGCCCTCAAGGAGGAGGGGCTAATGAAGGCGATAAGGCACGGTTAAGATAGCCCTGCTGATAAGAGAGGTGCTGATCAGGTTGTTCTGAGGGTTCCTGCCCCAGGAACCCAGAGGAAAGGTCCTTGAGCCTGTCCAGCCAGTGACTCACAGGTTAAACCTCACCTAGCCCCCACAGGGCTAGGCCTGGGGGCTGTAAGAGGAGGAGGCAGCCTTTTTGGCAGCTATGCTAGCCAAAAACAAATATCCTGGAGAAGGGGCCAAGGTCTCAGAATGCAGACTGTCCAGCCCACAGAGGAAGAGAGGAAGGAGGCCTCAAAGGAAACACGGGCTGGTGTTTCCCAGCCCCTGGCCTCCAGGGATGCACCAGCAGGCCAGGTGTGCAAGCTCACCTGCTTTTCTTCTCTGCCTCCCAGCACACCTGCCCTCCAAGTCCTATCCTTGCCATGGCTCCCGGAGAGAAGATCAAAGCCAAAATCAAGAAGAATCTGCCTGTGACAGGCCCTCAGGCACCTACCATTAAAGAGCTCATGCAGTGGTACTGCCTCAACACCAACACCCACGGCTGCCGTCGCATCGTGGTGTCCCGCGGCCGCCTCCGGCGCCTCCTCTGGATTCTGTTCACGCTGACTGCCGTGGCCCTCATTTTCTGGCAATGTGCCCTCCTCATCTTCTCTTTCTACACCGTCTCTGTTTCTATCAAAGTCCACTTCCAGAAGCTGGATTTTCCTGCTGTCACCATCTGCAACATCAACCCCTACAAGTAAGAGGCAGGAACAGGGCTGGAGGGGTAGGGGGGAATCATGCCCCTCCAGATGCCATGACAAACTCCAGGAGCCCACTCCAGCCTGCAAACATGGTTTTTAGACATCTGATTTAGTTGCCAACCTTGGTAAACTGCCTGCTCCCGAGTTCTAAATCTGCACCACGTTTTCAGTCCATCAGCTACTTCTGAGGATAGGCTAGCTCAGGGAAAGCAGAAAGAGGGGGCCGCATGGATCGATTTTGCTTGGGGGTGGGGCCTGGAATGAGCTAGCACTCCCTCCGCCCGCTGACCCCCTACACACACACACTAAGCCCAGCTTAGCCATCACACTCCCACCCCCCAGCACTCCAAGCTCACAAGCTCACTCTCCCCAGAATGTGAGCTTGAGGCTGACTCAGAAGTGACACCCAGGTGACTTCCAAAAGCATCTCAGCTGCCCCAAACCCTCAACTGGTGAACCCAGCTCCACTAATTGAAATCACTGGGCTCTGGGCAGGACCGGCCCTTGGTACAGCCTTATTGTCTGCTGCAGAACCTGTTCAAAATGGGTCATCGAAGTCCTCCCCAGGATTATGGAAAACTGATCTGTGAAGCAGGTCAGAGCCTGGCAGGATTTGTCAGAGCTTTTGGGGGTGGGGGGGTGGTGCCAGGGAAGAAGGGAACAGCAGGGAAACAAGTTGATCATGATTATCAAAGGAAACTAACGTGTCTGGAGTCGTCATCGAGTCGGTAGCAAAGCTCAAAATCAAAATCAGGTCCGAGACTCATTCTCTACCTCCCAACTCTTTCTTTTCTTTCTTCCTCCCTCCTTCTCCCCCTCTTTCCTCCCTCCCTTCCTTCTTTCTTCCTTCTATCCATTATTTGTTCCATAGTCATTTACTCAATATCCACAAAGTGTCAGGTGCTATGCCAGGTTCTAAACAACCCAAACAGTCTCTGCCCTAGTGGAACTTACATTGTACTGGAGGAGTGAAATATTAACAAGTAAAATTACACTACTATAATAATAGCGACCATTTATTTTATATATGTGTGTATTATATATGTTCTAAACTCATTGAACCTTTCCAACAACCCCATTTTACAAAGGAGGAAACTGAGATATAGAAAGGCTAAGTGACTTGTCTCAAGGTCACACAGCCAGTACAAGGATGGGGAACTCGAACCCGCGTAGTTTGGCCCCTGGAGTTTCTACTCTCAACCACTCTGCTATGTTGCCATTGCATCAAGCAAAGGAGAGAGAGGAGAGAGTTGACAGGGGATGGGACCATTTGGCCTTGTGAAAATTAAAAGATGGTGTCCTTTAAAAAAAAAAAGGTGTCTTTATGCTTCAGGCAGTCAACTCCTGTATCGTTCTTCTGTGTTCTTGGGAGTTGTCAAGGTGACGGTAATACCCTCTTTCCTCCCAATACTGATCCGAGGACAATCGTTGGGCAGTCACAAAGTGTGTTAGGTGGAAACGGAGCCCGCACCCTAGGAAGACTCCTGGTTAGTTATTTACTTCTTGCTGTGGCTGGTTTATGGGAGGCACCTGACAGTCACCACTCCAGAAATGCTGGTTAGGGCAAACTCATCAACACACCCCGAGAGCAAGCAGACAGTGGTGGCAGAGGTGAAGCCACAGGGAGTCACACAAGGGTCACCCATGAGCCCTTCCCCATGTGCAGGAGCCAGTTTGATGGAACGAGTCATGAAACGCCTGATCTCCTTGGCCAGGGGGCGTAGAAAAGCAGCCTGAACGAGTGCCTGCATTCTGCTGGAGGGGTCTCCCTCCCTGACTCTTCCCTCCCACCTCTGCAGGTACAGCATGGTGCGTGACCTTCTAGCAGACTTGGAGCAGGAGACCAGAGCGGCCTTGAAGTCCCTGTATGGCTTTTCAGAGATCAAGTCTCGGAAACGCCGAGAGGCAGAGTCCTGGAGTACAGCCTGGGAAGGCATACGGCCCAAATTCCTCAACCTGGTCCCTCTGCTGGCCTTCGACCAAGATGAGAAGGACAAGGCCAGGGACTTCTTCACGGGACAGAAGCGCAAGGTCAGCGGGAGTGTCATCCACAAGGCTTCGAATTTCATGCAAGTCCATGAGTCCAAGCAGGTGGTGGGATTCCAACTGGTAAGAAATTCACAACCTCACAGTTTGGGGGCATGGGACAGGCTGGAAGTGGTGCATCCAGGGATGCTTCACCTTGCTGTTAGCCCCTGTAGTCCCACCGGAACAGCCGGTTAGGATGGTTTGGCTGCAAACACCTGAAACTGACTCTGGCCATCTTCAGTTACAGGAAGATGTCTTAGAAGGTGACCAGTAGCTCATGGAGGCCTCTTAAAGGGCAGAAATTAGGGAAAAATTCAGGGATCTAGATAGCAAGAAATGATGGAAAGTCATTTCAGATACTGTTGCCAGATTTAAAAAGCTTCCCTTGTTTTTGGTCTTTTTGGTAATGCTTAAATGAGGCCAGCTGACTGGCTGGATTTGGGTCACCTGATCACCCCTTGGCTTATGCAGGGTGGGGGTTCTTGATGGACCATCTCACCAGACCATATCCAAAGGGGGAAAAGAAAGTTCCCTCAAAGCAAAATTGGGGTACAGACACCAGAAGGAAGATAATAAATAAATAATGAACACTGGAGACACCAGTGTTCCCTGCAGTACGTGCCTTCATGAGGTGCTGTGGACCGGCTTCTCATCCCCTCTGAGGGGCCCTTGAGAAGCAGTCATTCACTGAAAATGAGTTCCATTTCCTTCCTGGGTAAGCTCCATCATCACCACTCCATGTCCCAGTGACCTCTGGAGAACAGGAGCTACTTCTATATCCTGTAGCCTTGATTCCTCATTGTGAGACTCATGGCGAGTCACAACTCCTAAAAATGGCTCTTCCTCTAAATCACTGAGACTTCAGAGTCTTCCTGGGCCCATTCATAGGATAACCACAAGGATCTCCTAGATACCAGTCAATTCTTTGACATCTGTCCTTTCAAGAGAGTTTCCAAGCCCTGTGTGATGCAAATATCTGGCATGTACAGCTTCCCTATAAAGCTCTCTTCATTATGTATTTCAAATGTGGGTCCTCCCAACTACCACGTGTGGTTGGGAAAGATGGCATTTCAATCAACATTTGGTAGGTGAAATAATGGATACGTAATGCCTTGCCCAAGATCCTGCAGAGAAGCAGTGTCAGGATCCAGACTAGAATCCAGATTTTCTTGACTGCTTAATAGGAAATGAGAAAGGTTGTGTAGGAACTCAGTAGCATGAATCAGGTGAACTCTGGATTTCTGGGGACCCTGAAGGGGCTGCTTTTTATTCTCACCTGGTGGGCAGACATAGTAGGGAGTCTTAGGAGTAAGACTCTGTGTCCTTCCTCACTCAGCCCCTTTTTGGTCCTTGAGGCTTGAGGGTGATCTCTCCCAGACCCCACAAGGGAGAGTGCATAGTCTATTTTCTGTTGCTTATAACAAAATATCTAAAACTGGGTGATTTACAAGAAAACAAATTTTGTATCTTAGTTTTGGAGGCTGGGAAGTGCAAGGTCAAAAGGGCACATCTGGTGAGGGCCTTCTTCTTGGTACAGAGTCCCTTGGAGATGCAGAGTATCACATAAGGAGGGCTGGGTGAGAGGATGACAACATGCTCAATTGCTCTCCTTATAAAGCTCCTAGTGCCACTTCTGGGGTAACCATTCATTCATAAATGGATTAATCCATTCCTGAGCACATAGCTATCACGGTCCAATCACCTCTTAAAGGTCCCACCTTTCAAATACCATATTGGGAATTAAGCTCCAACATGAGCTTAATGGGGGGACATTCACCACAGCAGAAAGGAAACCTATCCTTGCCCCAGGTATCCCTCCTTTTTCCCTGAGTGTCTGTCCTGGAGTCTCAGTTACTCATCCTTTCAGTCCTGCTAAAGGCTAGTGGTAAGACTGATGGCTTCAGCCTGGTGTCTCCTCTTATTCACAGTGTCCAAATGACACCTCTGACTGTGCCACCTACACCTTCAGCTCGGGGGTCAATGCCATTCAGGAGTGGTACAAGCTGCACTACATGAACATTATGGCACAGGTGCCTCTGGAGAAGAAAATCAACATGAGCTATTCTGCTGAGGAGCTGCTGGTTACCTGCTTCTTTGATGGGATGTCCTGTGATGGCAGGTCAGGAGAGAAAGGCTGCTCTCTCAGCCTCTGAGGACTGGCAGCTCTGAGTACCAGGCCCCTTGCACACAGCCCAACTGTAGATCTGGAAAGAAAACTGTGCTTTTTTCGCTGACCCTGTCCTTTGGAAACAACTGGCACGGGAACTAGGTTCTAGAGTCAGTGACTAAGGTGTAGGTGCATAGAGTCTAAATATCTTTGGGGCCGGCCCGGTGGCGCACTGCTACAGTGCGCTGCTTGGGAGCACAGCGGCGCTCCCGCCAAGGGTTCGGATCCCACATACAGACCGGCCGCTCACTGGCTGAGCGAGGTGCGGGCGCAATACCGAGGGTTGCGATCCCATTGCCGGTCCCAGTCCGGTACGGGCGTGACACTGAGGGTTGCGATCCGTTGCCGGTCACGAAAAAAAGACAAAAAAGGAAAAAAAATAAAAAATAAAAAATAAATATCTTTAAACTTATTAAATTAAATTTACTCGTAAAAACAGAATAGTCGATAGTGTGCGTATAACCTTGTATATTAGCATCATGCATACCAATGATTGAAAACCGCCCATCTAGTACAAAGGAAGGAAAGAAGACAGGAAGGGTGGGAGGGAGGGAGAAAGGCTGACTTTCAAATCTTTCCACCTTTAAGATAACACTCAGATCCTTGGTGGGTGATTGGGCAGTGGATGGGGAGTTCTAAAGCATTCCTGCTTGTCTGAAGGGCTTTCTTATTCTCCTTAAGCATTAAGCCTTTCTCACCTTTCTATATGTTAGTAGATTTATTATACTGATCCTTGCAAAAACTGAGTGATTGGAATCCTGTCTCTCTGAGAGTGGGCTCTAAAGTCACATAAGAGATTCTTCTGGAGATCATTTCCTAGGACTGGGAATTTGAAGGGAGGAATGTCAAGTGTTGGCTGAGAAATTCAAGAGTGGAGGTATTTGGGGCAGACATGTGGCACATGGAATGTCAAGTGAGGATAGAGATGTAGGTGAGAGGATGAGTAAGGAAGACAGAAAGCAGAGTCTAATCCTATGTCGTTATGTGTCAACCCGGGTCAGGGACCTTGTCTGTCATTTTATCGCAGAAAAGGTGGGGAAAGTGTCATGTCTATCATCAATTGTCCCAAAAGAGATTGGCCCCGTTAGCATTGCCCACCTAGATGTCAGCAAGCACGCATGTGGGGAGTTCCTGGCACAGCCCTCCCTGATCCCTTTTTCTTCCTCCATAGGAATTTCACGCTTTTCCACCACCCAATGTATGGGAATTGCTACACTTTCAACAACAGACGAAATGAGACCATCCTCAGCACCTCCCTTGGGGGCAGTGAATACGGTAAGGAAACCTGCACCAGGAGGGCCCTGAGGTCCTCTAACAGTGAGCACGTTGGCAGCAAGATACTTGGGGATGCTTGAGCCTTCCAGAAACACAGGCTCTCTCCACTGGGCCAGAAACCAGGGACACCACTTTTCCTTGTCAATGTTTCCACCCACGCTCATGTTGGTCCTTCCTTTCATATTGGTGTCTGCTTTCCTTTTTGAATTCTCTCCTCTGCATTTGAGAGAGCAACAGGGTCATCACTGGGGATCCTTCTGCTGGAAAACCAGTCTGATTTAAGCTCATAGCTGGGGTGAGTAATACTGGGCAGGTGGCTTCCCAATAGAGTTAAACCTAGATAAGCTGAACAGGAGATTAGGGAGGTAGACACACCTGTATCTTAGTTAAGATGACAGACTCTGGAGCCAAAACCCAGCTCTGCCAGTCACTTGTTTGACCTTGGGCAAGTTGCTACACTTGTGGGAATATTAATAGCATCTCCCAAAAAAGGTTACTGAGAGGACTTCAACATACATAGCACTTAGAGCGAGACCTGGTGCATACTCTATTAATCTGCTCAGGCTCCTGCAACAAAATATCATAGACCAGGTGGCTTAAATAGCACACATTTATTTCTCACAGTTCTGGAGGTAGAGCAGTCTAAAATCTAGGTGCTGGCAAATTTCGTTTCTGGTGAGGCCTCTCTCTTTGGGTTGTAGATGGCTGCCTTCTCTCTGAATCCTCATGTAGTGTTTCCTCTGTGGTGCGTGGAGAGAGAGTACTCTGATGTCCCTTCCTCTTCTTATAAGGACACAAGTCCTATCACAATAAAGCCCCTACCTTATGACTTCATTTAACCTTGATTACTTCCATAAAGGCCCTATCTTCAAATATCATCACAATGGGTGTTAGGGTTTCAACATATGAATTTTAGGGTGGTACAATTAAACCGTAACACACATGAAACACACAATAAATGCTAGTTGTTGTTGTTATTACTAGGTTATTACCATTACTAACATTGCTCCTGTCTGCTACCATCGCTGCTACGAACCAGCACCTAGAACATCATTACTACTTCCAATCTTACTGCTACTACTACTTTACTGCTATGACTTTTTAGGAAGATAGGAACTCAACAGATTGGCCTGGCTTGCCCACAAAAGGAATTCTTGAAAGGTCCTGTCCAAATTGAACATGATTTGACACATAGACTGCTCCCATCAGGAAAGGCAAGGCCTCATGAAGGAAATCTGCAACTGGAATCCTGGCCTTTGTCACCACATAGTCTGTGTTCTTACCAAGTCTGCAAGAAACTGTACTTCAGAGTGTATACCCAGTGGGGAGAAGTAGTTTGGGAACTGAGAGCAATGAGTTGCAGAGTCCTGGCTCTGGCACTTGTGGGCTTGTGTGGCCTCAAGCAGATCACCTCCCCCCTCTGGGCTTCTGTTCTCTTGTTTACAAATTGAAGGTCGGAGTAACTCTCAAAATTCTCTCCTTTCAATGCATATAGACCCTGCTTGTTTACTCATTCATTTACAAACGTTTCCTGAGCATCTGCTGTATGCCAGGCATTCTTCTAGGTGCCAGGGTCACAGAGGTGAACAAGACAGATACCATCTCCACTTTCAGGGGACTTCAGTCTTAGCAGAGAGAGACACATAACACATGAGTAAACGAGCACATGGACACTAATCTAGTTACCAGTCCTAGTGAGGAGAAGAAAACTGCCACGGGGAAGTCAGAGTGGCTGGGTCAGGATGGTTTTAGTTCAGATAAGGAGGTCCAGAAAGGCCTTTTATATGAATAGGAGGAGATCTGTGTTAAGATCCACACAAGAGCATTCCAGGGACTAGCAAGAACAAAGGCCCTGAGAAGAAAATGAAGTTGTTGTGTTCGAGAAACAGAAATGAGACCAGTGTTCTTGGAGCTCGTGGAGGGAGTGGGACAGTGGTTGGGGACCAGGTAGACAGGGCCTGCATCATCAGAGCCTTGACAGACACAGTCAGATTTACTCTGTGGCATTCCCATATACACAGTGAGATGCCACCAAAGGGTTTCAGGCCAGGGAGTGACCCAGTCTTATTTCCAATTTTCCAATTTCCCTCTGTCTGCAGGGTACAGAATAGACTGCAGGAGACAAGAGCAGGGGCAGGGAGAGAAGTTGAGCCAGGGATGAGACACACCATCAGTGACTCGCTCTTCCCTGGGTGCTCTCCCTGGGGGGTAAGCAACCACAGTGCAGGACTCCCCATTGCAAAGGACCACATGGAGATGCACATCTCAGGCAGGGTAGCAATTCCTTTATGCTTAGCAAGAGCTGCCACGGTGATACTGTGTTTGAGCGCCTGCTGTGGGCTAAACCCTGGAGGCACAGCAGTGAGCAAGTCAGGTACAACACCCACCCTCATGGAGCTCCTGTCTAGCCCTTGTCCACCTCTCACTTAGTGGAAATGCCTGCGTCTTGGATTTGAGGGTCTCAAAGCAGTGGGAGAGGTAGGTTACTCCCCCGGGAATGTTTTCCTAGCCTTTGACCACAGCTGGCTGCCTTATCCTCCCAGGGCTGCAAGTCATCTTGTACATAGATGAAGAGGAATATAACCCCTTCTTTGTGTCCTCCACTGGGGCTAAGGTGATTGTCCACCGGCAGGATGAATACCCTTTCATCGAAGATGTGGGGACAGAGATTGAGACTGCAATGGCCACCTCCATAGGAATGCACTTGGTAAGAGAATGTTCTGATTTCTGTAGGCTTGGGGAGGACACTTTTTTTTCAAGGATAAACAATGAGCTTACAGAAAAGGGTGTCTGTTTCAAAAAGGAGCATAGTCCTGTATTTTCCAATGGTTACCCCGGTTCCAGTAGTTATACTAAAGGTTGTATGAGGGTGCTTGAAAAAGTTCATGGAAGGATTGGTATTATCATTCAATTCTATTTTTCAATGAATGTTTTGAAGTACCATTGTATTTGTATCTTCTGTCTGGAAGAACAAGGACTAGATGTCATTTTGGGGAAAAGTTTAAGGAACCTCTTCGTCCCAAAGAAAGACACCAGCATTTATGGAACATGTGCTGGAAGCAAGATATTAGACACTAACTATATGTTTGTCAGTGATATAAATAGAGCATCTTAACATCCATCCTTCTGGACTGCCTAGAGGCCCATGGAGCATGTAAACAACTATTTAAAGGCCAATGAAAAATCACTGAGCTATCAAAGGTTGATCTCTTCCATAAATTTCACCTCATTTACCAAGAATCCCTTCTCCCTCCAAGTCTTTGACCTTCTCTGACCTCACTGGGTGCTGAGAACACTCATCCCTGTCAACAGAAGCACATCTGGCCTGCAGACCGCAATCCCCAAGTCCATGGGAGCAGAGGGCAGGGTGAGGAGTGGGCTCTCATGCCCCTGGCTGCTCCACTGTGTATGCAGTCTTTTTGGTTTGCAGGCTTGGGGTCTTTTTATGCCAGTGTCTATCTGTCTATCTGTCCATTTCTCTTTCTCTCTCACACACACACATAGAATGACTAAGAACTTGTTTTCTTTATTTTTAAAATTGTTTTACTTTATTTTTTAGCAGGTGGCTGGTATGGGTATCTGAACCCTTGACCTCGGTGTTATCAACACACTACTCTAACCAGCTGAGCTAACTGGCCAGCCCAGAACTAATTTGAAAGGGGTATATGCAGAAAGTAAAACACCCACCTTACTAAGGAGTGTACCGGGCAGTGTGCATCTCCTCCCATCCTGACCTCTAGTCCCTTCCTTTGTCTCCACCGAGACCATGATGGTTGCTTCTGTGACTTAGCAGGAGTATTCTAGTCTTATTCAAGTGTGTGTGTATAGGTATAAACATTTCTCTCTCTCTTTTTTTTTTTTTTTTTTAAAAGATGACCTCTTAACCCTTGACTTGGTGTTGTCAGCACCACACTCTCCGAAGTGAGCGAACCAGCCATCCCTATATGGGATCAAAACCCATGGCCTTGGTGTTATCAGCACCACACTTTCCCGAGTGAGCCACAAGCCAGCCCTACACATTTCTCTTGATTTGTCATCTACTTATATGTACAGAAGTTTTAATTTTTTTTTTTTTTTTTTTTGGTGGCTGGCCAGTACAAGGATCCAAACTCTTGACCTTGGTGTTATCAACACTGCACTCTAACCAACCAGGCTAAGCAGCTAGCTCCATTTCTCCTTTTATGCAAATACAAAATGCTGTTCTGCCCTACTGTTCACTTGACACTATCATTTGGAAATGGTTCCATACCAATTCATATAGATCTGCCTCATTCTTCTTGAAGACCCGTAATATTTCATTGTGTGGATAAGTAACTGAAACAATCCCCGGTCGATTGACATTAGGTCCATCTTGCCTTTATTTATATCCAACCTTAATATCCCAAATTAAACTTCTTAGTCTTCCTCCCTCATAAACTTGTCCTCCAGAGCAGTGGTTTCCAAACCTGGTTGATCATCAGACTCAGATCTACTAATCAGAACCTCTGGGAGATGAGCCCAAGGATCCGTATTTTTATCAAACTCCAGTGGTTATTCCAAGAGGCAGCACATTTGGGAACGTTGGCCTTAGAAACTTGGCAATCCAGAATTAGAGGAGAAGCAAAGTGTGTCTTCCCAAATGAAAGTGAAGCTTGAGTAACATGGAAGGTCTGTCTAGCACAGCCACAAACAGCTTCAAATTGGGTTATGGATGATATGGCGGGCTTTTGGAGCTTGGTATCTGCCCATCATTTATCCATTCAACAGTTATTTTCTGAGCACCTCCTACATGCTAGACACTGGGGATAAATCAGCGTAGAAGACACTGTCCCTGTCCTGATGGAGCTTAGAGTCCCTCAGAGAGGATCAATAATAAAGAAAAAATTACACAAATGATTCATTGCAATAGCCATAAGTGATATGAAGGAGAAATGCAGGATGCATGAGAGCATAACATAGAAGTGCCTGAGCGAGGGCATTGATTTTAATGGGGGCAGATGGGAGGATGTTCAAGGAATACTTCCCTGATGGAGTGATATTTAAGCTGAGACAGCAGAGGTGATGAATTAGAATGGTCATATTACAGAATAAACCTGTGGTTTCAGTGCCTCAGGGTACCCCATCCAAGGGACAGCCCTGGACAAAGGAAACCATCAGGATGGTTGTTCTGGCAAACCAGAAGTTCCTGTGAGGCATGTCATTTAGTGGCTTTGTTCCAATGTGGGAGAGAAGTAATGTGTACCAGCTTGGTTGTGTGAATGCTGGTTGCCCAAGAAAAAAAGAAAAAAATCTTGAGCCCCAGTCTGCTCAAACTGTGGCTTAAAAAGGCTTTGGGGGCTAGCCGGTTAGGTCACTTGGTTAGAACATGGCTGTGATAATACCAAGGTCAAGGGTTTGGATCCGCTTACTGGCCAGCCACCAAAATAAAAAATGAAAAGGCTTTGGGATACCACTTAAGTAGCTGGGCCACTGATTCTTTTGTTCACTGGTAGATAGCAAAACTCTCAGATCACAATCGTAAAGATTTTGCTCCAGTATTTCCCACACAGTTTTATCTGCACCCTGAGGAAGGACCTGGGATTTGTGTCACATTCTTCCCTTAGCCTTTTGCCCTCTCCGTGCCTTCTGCTTCTCACTGTATCTGCAAACTAGGATGAGTTTCTAGAGTGCACTTGCAAAAGTATGAGAACTGAGGAATTCTGCCCACCGGTTGTTCTGAGCTTGGAAATACCCAACACATTGTTAAGCCAATGTTCTCTTTCCCAATAGTGGGTAAACAAAAATGTGGGTGAGTTTTCTTCTACACCTAATTTGAAATGTAAAAAATTTAAGCCACAGAACAGGGTCAGTCAGCTCTCGGTCTGATTTATGAACATGCAGAACAACAATAAAAAAAACAGGGATTACTAAGAGGTCAGCAGAGGGTCACTAAGAATAAATCCAAACAAACTAGACTTCCTTCCTTTCTTATTTCTCATTTATTTGTTGATATATTTTTTAATAGGTGTGTTAAGCTGTTAGACTCAGTCAGGTGGTCAGGCGGTTGGTTAACAGTGCTTTGTTTATTCATTGAGGGACTGTGTGTCTGTCCAAAGCACTGAATACTCAAAGATGAACACAGCAGAGCTCCCACCTTCAAAGATCTTACCTTTAACAGGGGAAGACAAAATTCAACATACCTTTGTAATACAGTTCCCATCCTTGTGGAAACAAGGGCCTCGTCTGTCTTGTTTCCAGGCTTGGAACACAGCAGACCCTCAGTAAATATGGATGGATGGATGGATGGATGGATGGATGGATGGATGGATGGATGCCCAGACAGAAGCTATTGGAGAAGGCTTTCTAAATGATGAATTCTTGAAGGACAAGCATCAGGCAAATAGTGTCAAGAAGGGCCAGTCCAGACAAAGGGGTCACAGAAAGTATGTTAAGCCATGTAGTGAAGCTTTGTGAAGAATCACGTGGGTTGAAGTGTAATCAGTGTACTGGAGGCAGCAGATTTATAGTAATTGCAGGGAAAAAAAAGATGAGGCTCTTAGCTGAGGAAGTGGCTGTGGGGATGAGCAGAGAGAATGGATTTTAGGGATATCACAGCATGGAAGAAGAAGGGCTGGACAACCAGTGTTAGCAAGCAGGACCAGGAGAACTTAGATTGATATTTAGGTCCTGGTTGGGCCATGTGGTGGATGATGCCAGGTCCAGAATTAAGGACTGCAAGAGGAGGGTTAGGGGAATAGATGACCACTTCAGTTTGGGACACTCCCAGTTTGTGGTACCTTTGGGAAAAATCAAATTGAAAATAAATTGTCCAGTGAGTAGATACTACAAACCCAGAGCTCAGGAGAAAATTTGGGGGTAATTCTAAACTTAAAAATAAATGCCATCACCCAATATTCGAGACAGAACCTAAAAAATGCAAACATTTAAGGGCTGAGCAGAAAGAAGACAGAGAAACAGAAGCAGAGATGTAGGAGCAGAATCTGCAAAGACATGGTGTTAGATAAAGCAAGGAAGGGAGTTGCAAGGAAGGTGTGATCAGGAGAGCAAAGTGCAGTTGAGAGGTCAAAGGCGAAAGTTGTTCTCTGGGTTTGGCAACCAAGAGGTCACTGGTGTTCTTTGCCAGAGCAGTTTTCAGTGAAAAGAGTGGAACAGAAAACACAGTGCAATGGGTTGAATGATGAATGGGAGATGATGTGGAAAAGGGGGTACCATTCACCCAGGAGGGTGTGGAGCTGGGTCCTGGGAAAGGGGGAGACTCCACTGTCATTGCAAACCCCACTGTGTCCCTTTCTATCTTATATGCAACTTCTGTTCACAAGTATAACGGGAATTAAAAGCTCAGATGGTTGAGATTCATAGCCCAGCTTTGCACTTTGGTTGTGTAATCTCTGTGCCTCAGTTACCTCATCTGTGAAATGAGGATAATAATAATGCTACTTCATGGCTGGTGAGAATTCAATGAGTCAATGTAGTAAGTGCTCAAAAAGTATTGGATATTACTCTATATTTCTTAAGAAAAAATATGAAGGAAAGGAAAAATAAGTTTGAGGCAAAGAAGAGTTAGGGAAGGTTTTTCTTGTCTATTTTAGCACCCCTCTTCTTTCATGAGTCAGATACATTTACACAAAATATGGTATATATTTATATTATTAATAACAGTATGTTGGCATATTATACATATAAAGGATACTGATTATTTGCCACGTGTGTTGTAAATATCTTCACCCC